AAAATGTCCAAGAGCCTGTCTGCTCAATAAACCCAGAAGATTTGAGTCAAAGCTGTCAGAAATACATGTGTGTCTTTAAACTTCCAACAGGCAAAACTGGGATAGCCCTGATAAATGCAAATCAACAGGTAACTAAACAGTCATTTAAAAAGAGTTGCCATGATGCAACTTTAATGTCATGCTTGCGTGGCGGTTGTGACATTTCGTACAGACCAGTGAAACAAGTCAAACACTGGAAGAAAATCCTGCAGCGTATGACCCCGTCTCTCTGATCACTTGTGTGGGATGTCGGTTTTTGTGACAATGTGCATTCAACAAAATTGCAAAGTTCACTACCACAAGTGTGTTATATAGTTTGAACAATACTCAACCCTACAAAACCAACTCCAGAGGAAGCCTGTACATTCAGGAAAATTATGGTTATAGATGCAAAATGGGGAAAACATCTTTCCTCGAGCTATAATTCAATGCTGAGTATGTACTATCCTGACTACTCATTTGTGTGAAAAAGGATTTCAGCCAATATGACCTGCTCTTGTCTGCCAAAGCCATAGCAGCTAATCAATAGTTTGATTCATGGTGACAGGAGGCTGACGTTTCATCAGCTCGTGAGGTTATTGACAGTCTCTTTGTGATTCCGTATGTTCTTCAGTGGATAGAGGATGACACACACAGTAAAGCACATGGGGATTGTGTGCCTCCACTTTTAAAATATATCGGTTTGACCCAGTCAAATTAGGAAGAACATAAACGAACTATACAGCTTTTATCAATCAATTTTGACAGCTCAGCTGTGGAAAAGCAATATTTATATTATAAGCAGATATTGTTTAAAAATACCCACAAAAATGTCAGGAAACTGCAGCTTCCGCTCCACCTTCCAAAGCCTCGGGCCTTATCTGGAATAGGTTACATGAAGCCAACCACTTTGATCTGTGATTCTGGTCTCACTGAGAGGATTTCATCCTGCCGCCCAATTATTTCAGACTTACTACTGTTTCCAACACAGTCCCAAGATGATCAGACAATCAATGCATTGATCAGCACCACTGGAAGCCTCTACTTTTAGTAGCTTAGAGTGGTAAAGTACCGGTCAGTGATCCCTTTGACGCTGTGCTTGTTAAGAACTGTCTCCTTGTTATGAATTTGATCAACTTTAAATATAAATTATTTTTAAAAGAAGATGCAACACAGGGCAGGGTTTAGTGTGTTGTCTTGATGCAAATGGACCAAATTTGTGAAGCTTAGAGTGTATTTTAATGAAAAAATATAGTATTAAACTTTAAACATAGGAGGAATATAAACAAAGCAAGACTGTTYTTTTTAGGTTTTGTAGAAGGATGCAGCTTTCAACACCATCTGAGCTTCATTAAAAGAAGAAAACACTAAAATGTGGGGAAAAAAACTGTTTTTTCACATTTTTTATTGGAACAGAAAGATCGTTATCATTTCTTTCAGGAGTGATGACTAAATGCATAAAACAGATTTCCTGGTACTAAACAGTTATTACAGGAGTGAGCTGCACTGCAACCTGAAGAAAGGGTTAAAATAAAAGAGCATGTAAGAAGAGAACAGAATATAAAAAAAAAATAAAAATTCACAGAGGGTATTGGAAAGACTGCAGCTCATAAGCAAAAGCCAGCCTGCAATAATTTCTGTTTTAAAGATAGTCTCTGTAGACCTGAATGACTACAGAAAAAAAGCATCCACTTACCTCAATGATAAAGTGCTTTGAGAAACCAGTTCTGCAGCACATTAGAACCTAGCTCCCCTCCCACATTCAGCCCACATCAGTTTTCTTCCAGAGCTAATAGACCCACTGAAGACGCCATCACTATAGCAACCTACACAACACTTAACCGAATRCTGAGAGAGCTATGTAAGGATGCTCTTCATCCAATAAAGCTCAGTATACAGTTATGATATTCCTCTAATTCTTGTCAGCAAACTGCAGGCTCTTTCTATAGATTCGTCTTAAAATMCCCACTTGTTTGTGCAACAAAGATGATTTAAACACTGCTCCTGAGAGAGCTACAGCAGGCTCCTCAGTTACATCCATCACTGGTGTGCTCCAAGGCTGTGTACTTAGTCCTTTCCTTTATTTCCTTTTACATAAATCTACTCATTAAACAAAATAAACATCTTTTCTGACAGCAGAACCATTGTTTCTGATCACAAAAGAGGTGAGTCAGTTACAGGGACAAATGGTCACAGGGGTATTTGGTGAATAACCTGAAGCAAAGCATGAAAACAAAAAATATGATATTGGACTTCAAAGTGATACATATTGCTGCATAAGTGGAGAAAGTGTGCAAAGAGCAAATGCTTTTGAGGTTCCCAGAGCACCTTTTATTTAGAGGTATCACCTTGTCAGCAAACAACACTGCAATCATTAAGAGAGCAGCACAGAAAAAAGAAAAAAATTGGCTTTCCTGAGATGAAGTGCTCCAGAGGCACAGCACTGAAAGGGAGCTGTTGATGCCCTTCTACTGGGCAATGATAGAGGGCCTCCTAACATACGGCATGTCATGTTGGTATATAAGCTGCTCAGCTGCAGATAAGAAAGCACTCCAGAGAGTTGTAAAGACTGAAGAGAAAATCACTTGCTGCCCACTGCCCTCTCTGGAGAACATTGCAACATCACGCTACATCAGCAGAGCCACCAACATCATTAAACACTTCCCTCCCTCCGGCCGTCGCCTCTTCGAACTGTTGCCCTCTTTGAAGGATTACAGGTTGGTCCAGATATTTGCTTCTAGGTTTAGGTACAGTTTTCCCCTTCAACAACACCAAACTCCAAAAATAGCATCTTTAATCGCTTAGGTTTTGTTGAATTGTGTACAAAAAAGTATCAGTGCAATAAATAGGTTWTTTTGTGCACACTGAAAAAAAATTCTGTGAACTTGTGTAAGTCATCAGCTATTTTAAGCACCAATAAATATACTTTTTATTTTGACTTTGACACGAATGAACACTGAAAATACCAAGTTAGCCATCACTGCCCTCATAAAATGCCTCTAGATTGATTACATTGCTGWATGGAGACAACTTTATTAGAGAAATAAAAGTAGATGGGTTTGATTAGGTTGAAATAGTTAACTGATTGTCAGTGTTCCACATTTATGAGCTACTGGCTAATGAATAGCATTKTCTGCCGGGAGCCATCCCATCAGCCACCTAATGATGTCTCAATGACTTAACAGCTATTAAGAGCTAATCAATAAAACAATTGGCMGCAGCCGTAGCCAGAAGGTTAGATTTGGTTGGTTTATTGTCGGGGTTAGTCATTCTGTGGTTGTAGGGTCACATATAACAAAGAAATCTGAAACATGATTTCTGTTTAGAGACAAAATACGACAACAGTTTAATCCTTAAGATATTGTATTTGTAATAAA